ACTAACTCTGTGTTTCCCACAACTCTAGTCACCATTAAGTTTATCCAGATGTGTGTGTTTGTGCATAGAGAATATGTTTACTAATTTTATCATGTTCTTAGTTCCAAATGGAAACCTTAGAAGCCTAGAATAAATTCATCCCAAAATGTGGTTCCAAATCCAGCCATCGAAGGCATAATTTTCAGGAAATTATTACATGCCAAAGATCTGCCTATATTCTCTAGAACACAAATGAGCAGTTTGGTTTCCAGAATAACTCAACATAAGCTTCAGAATGATCACTAGACAAATGGGTTTCACTTGCTGAAGGGGAAATGACTATTCTCCACATTTTTTCTTTGAAAAAATCTTCCATGATGATAAGACATATTTGTTTCCAACAAATAAGAAATGAAATGGAGTGTGGTTGGAAGCAGAAGAGAAGGTTCACTAAGCCAACCTCAGACAGGGCAGAGTCATGGAGCCGGTAAGATCGATGTGGCATGTGTGAAGTTCATGTGAAATGGGCAGCTGTTCCTGGGTGAAATACAAGAGTTTGTCTAACCTGTTCCTGGAGGCTTCTGTCATCATGAGAGAAACAAGTGTATTCTGGACTTTGATCCAGACTTCCCTGGATTAACAGGATTGGGGGTAGGGGTGTGGGGAAGGGGAAATTAAGGATCTGGAGAAGACTGGACACATCTGGCCTGTAGACCTCCAGGAGACACCGAGGTCCTACCCAACAGGATGATTTCCACTTGCTCAACACATCATCATTTGAATATTTGATTTCTCTATATTTCTACTCTGATTCTGTTGTTGTTCCCCAATACCGAGGGCAGTTTAGACAGAGATTCACTGAGATAGTACTGTAAATGGATATCTACAGTTTCCCCTTTCTGCCTTTATATGCTTTTCATGTACCATATTTCCAACTGGATTTCAAAGCTGTCCACAAGACTGAGGGCTTGTGCCAAATGCTCCCTCCTCTATGAGGCTGTTTGAGCAATAGCAGTTATAGTAGCAACAAGCAGGCAATACATTTGAGCACCGGCCCCTCATTCACATGCCTCTTCAGCATTGAAGCTGAACACAAAGCACGATATAATACAAGACACAACACAAAACACACACACACACACACACACACACGCACAAAGAATACATTGCAAAAGGGACTTTGACAATGAGCTTGGCTTCTGCCTACTGGGAAGTAGGCTAAGACCATAGCGTCTTTTTTGCTCAGTTTCTCCAGATAGCTGAAGTTTGGAAGTGATTATCAGTCCGAAGTTGGGCTAATTTTAAATCACATTACATCTTTACATTGACCAGACCCTTAACAGTGCAATCTTCAGTCCTTAAGCAATTTCATGGGTACTCTGACTATACTTTCATTTCAAATTTCAGACTGATGAAAGCTTCGGAGGTAGAGAAATTTTATTTGCTGATAGCCTAAATTGTACCAAACCTCAAAATTTTCTCCAATTTCTTCAAAGTAAGAACCAAAAAGAACAAAAAACAAACAACAACAAAACAAGCACACACACGTGCATGTAAACACACACACATACAATGAAAGAGGAAGAGGCATAAGTCAAAATATAACAGAATTCTTTAAGTTTTTGTTTTTATCTTTTTCTTTTTAATTCTGAGATTTTCCTTAAAAGGGAACAGTTTTTGCAAGTCACTTCCAAGGCATCTAAACAGCTGCTTTCTAAACTACACCAGTGGAAGTTAGCATGACTATTTATAAAACAGATCAGAAACCTCAGTGGATGCTTAACAATAATTGTTAAGTACTACCGGCTGCATCACTGATGTTAGAAGTGAGAAAATACCTTCTAAATTATATAGATTTGAGCAAAAGCAATGACTTCTCATAGTGATAATTAAATCCCAATGTAGTTGTATCACATCTTTATTCACAAAGTCATCTTTGGAAAACCACATTTTAACATCATAAAACAGATCTACAGTAGCACTAAAAATGAATGCCACTTGGTAAATATAAACATTTCTGACAGATAGAATCCAGACAATATAGGGGCAAGTACGTCATAGCACACCAGGGGTTTCTGGACGCCTGTTACGGGGCTAGCAGGAACACTCCCCATCGATCAGCAAACCACTTCTTTTACAACTACCAGAGAACTGGGGATAGTAGGAGTCCTCTCTTGAGGAAAGACACCTTTTCATTTTGGTAGCTGGCAAATTGTAAGCTGCTTTACCCTTCCCCTTTTCTGGGTAGTTCCGTTTAATCAGTTGCAATATCAACCAGCATATCCAAGTTCCTTAGCCTCATGTTATTAAGGCCGCATGTAATCTTCCATTAACAAACCTGTAAGAAATTTTAAAAGCAGATCCCTTCAACAGGCTGATTTAAACAGCAGGATCTGACTACATGGCAAGTAGCACGCTTGATACGCTCAGGATTCAGATTAAGAAATACATGCAGATCTGCTGAAGAAACAAGGCACTAATACACAATTTACATGAACTGTAGTTTGCACTTGGGAACAGTAATTATTCAAATAAGTAATAGAGGGCGATGTTCAAATGCTCAAAGCACTGCCTTTCATGACAGAGAAGAGAAATTTCTGAACTACATTCTCTGGCATGTAGTAGGAGATAGAATCTCAGAGTTTTTGTCAATAATTCCAGAATGGACATGGCCATTCGTGATGCTTTTTACAGGTTAAAAATGGGAAAAATGACATGTGGCCAAAGACATGCAAGTGGCAACGGTGGAAAACAAGTATTTACTCTGGGGAGGACTACATAGCTAGCAGGTCTTTATCACTATTATCATGTAGCTCTTCACTGGCTATGACCATGAGGAGATCAAATTGGCACATTTGTCAAGATTACAAAAACTTTTTGTTTCGTAGCATTATTAGTGTTTCACTTTGTCTCACTAGCAAGAATTAGAGAGTAATTTAATATATAAAGCGCATACGTATATGCCTACGCATATAATATCTTTAAATGCACTGATCTGATACTTCTCATTTCCTCCAGCAGAGGTCAGAAAATAGCAATACAGGAATATGAAAATCCACAAACCAAGAAAATACAGTGATCTCCACAGTTAATGACTGTGAGCAATCTCTCTCAAACAAGGGACTTAATGTCAGCTGTAAGATTATAGAAAGAACAAAGCATCCTGGACATAGCTCTGAACTGACAAGAGTCCCTGCACACAGAAAGAGAGACAAATGAATATAATTTCTAGTCACCTCCTTTGTCTGGAGAAATCTAAGAGATACTAGCATTCTTTTTTTTTTTTTTTTTTTTTGTCTTTTTCGTGACCGGTAAGGGGATCGCAACCCTTGGCTTGGTGTCGCCCGCACCGTGCTCAGCCAGTGAGTGCACCAGCCAGTCCTATATAGGATCCGAACCCGCGGCAGGAGCGTCGCTGCGCTCGCAGCACCGCACTCTCCTGAGTGCACCACAGGGTCGGCCAGAGATACTAGCATTCTGAGAAGTCAATCTCTGCAAGTCTTACAGGTAAAATAAGGAAGACATAAGAACTCAGTCAACATGACCTACATTTTAAAAAGCAAAGAACCCAACAAACGATATGTACTAAGAACTGCTGATTAACGTTCAACAAATCACGCTATCACCACGCTACGTTTTCATTTCTAATTCATACATCTCTTTTTCTGCTACACGCATATGGAAACCAGGTAAAAAGACTGATAAAACAAAATTTGAGGATCAACCAAAACATTTACTTATAAATTAATGAAACCTTTTACCCATATTATGCCAAATTACGTAGATGCTTAGTTTCTGTTAATTAAATGATTCATAATGTATGCTCTGTTATTTGTCCCTGATAATATCACTCACATATAGTATAAGAGTGTCAAAATTGTTATATAAATCAAAACTGACTGTTGCTAGCTTCTTTTGTCTTCTAAGGGGATGATTTCTACCAGTGAAGAATATGTCGCTATACTGCTCACTTCCACCTATGGGGGAGAATGAGAAAGAGAGAGGAAAGACTGAAATTCAAAAGCTCTGCCAGTTCTTCTGTGGGACTCTGGGGTGAGGCTCAGAGTAGATGACTCTTTGCTTGTCAAAGAACATCAATGACTTTTTGGACCAAGATGCAGATTCTGGGAAAACAGAGGATCAGGGAGCTATGAAGAGAGTCTGAAGAACAGCAACATGGTGGGAGGGGGAACCCACAGAGAAACGTGGCCAGTGAGAAATCCTCAGGCGTGCTTTGGTCTAAGGGGTTATTAAAATGTCCACTATTCAGTTCTAAGCTGTTGGTGTTTCTGTAATTTAAAAGCCCTCCATTGCTCAAAACTTCAGTCATGTCTGCTGCTCACAAATGCTTGGGGTGGTCTGAGGAAAATCAAGGGAAAGAGGTGAGTTTGAACCCAGGTTGGCATGGGGTGTGAACTAGCACAGGCGTTGTGGAACCATGAGCCACAAATGATCATGGGAATGAGAGATCCAGTAAATCCACAGAAATCTTGGGGAAATCAATGGAGCTTCCCTAAAAAAGATGGATTTGGGACTTGAGCCACGTTTATGTCAATCTCCAAAGAAGATTAACTTCAGCTGATATATAGGACTCAATGAGAAAATTTCAAAATATTCCATTAGACATATGCCAAATAGTCTTCATAACGTGAGGTTTAGGGAAGCGTTTGTAAAGCTGTACAAAGGTTTTTGTATAACATGAAAGAGTCCAAGGTATTTAAATAGAAACATTTAATAAATAAATCACAAATCTTTTTGCTCTATTGACTGTTAAACATTTTACCAAATGAACAATACCACTTCATCAATAACCTTCCTAAATAAGTTTAGATTCCCACCTAATTCCCCTTTGAAAATAGTGAATAAATTTTCAGAGTAGCTGAAATACAAATGTATTTATACAAAACACATATGCATCATCCAGAGATGCAGAAGATTCTCAGAGAGAACCATCTGGAACTCATATAGGGAAATACCCATAGAGAAGCCTTCGAATCCTTCAAAGTCTGGCTCAGACTCACCTTTACATGGTGGATCAAACGCTCAACTTCATTCACTTTGTAAGTCTCCAATCCCAGCTCCTTGGCTAATCGTAAGATACGATTCTGGGTTGGCCCAACATAAGATCCTCCAAGGTCCACATATTTAACGTTTTGGTTCTGTTTTCCCATGGAAAAATAAAATAAAAATGTATATTTATGAAAATATTCCTAAAATAAAAAAAAGACAGTCCTGAAATAAGCAAATTGAGATTTCACAGGTAATAAATACATCTTGAAGTGTATCCATGGAAACTGAATTCTGTTCTCAACTCTACTTCATTCACATGGCTTAATAGTTATTAAATCAATTTTTAATTTAAAGCAAAATTGATTGAATAGGCAAGAGAACCCTATTATTCCCAATATATCACAACAGGTTTGGATTTTAGTGCCTTGAATTTGTAAGCTATGAATTGCTGATGAATCTCTTTACTCAGTACCTCAGGCTGATTTTGAGAGATCTGATACTAGAGGAAAAGCAAGAAAGGAAATTATTCCTTCTTGTGTGGTTTGTTAATCCAGGGAATATTCGGTCATATTTTGGATCTTTGAAATTGCTTTTATGTATAATTGTATTTTTTTTCTATATGGTTTTGAATTGGCTTCATTTCCAATGACTAAGGGGCAGCCTATGAACAAGAACCTCCCTATCTCTGAATATGCCCACGCAGAACCAGGTACTATGAGGGTACTTCAAAAAAGTTCATGGAAAGATCCACATTATCTTTCAATTCTATTTTTCCATGAACTTTTTGAAGTACCCTCGTATTAGTCAGAAATACCAGAAATGGTCCTCCTTTTCTGTTTTTATTTGTTTGCTTGTTTATTTACTAGCTCCTCACTCAACACACCTCAAAAGAACACAGTTTTCACAAGGGCAGGGATCTTTGTCTTATTCACTGATATATTCCAAGCACCTATAGTAGTTGCCCAATGAATTTTCTAAAATAAATGAAAGAAGGGTGTTTTTTAAAATTCAGCACCTCATCATACTAAATCAATCTCTTTTATGTAAAAGGCACTCTTATGTGCCATATTTTGTGGGAATATGAAGATTTCAAGAGCTGGAGGAGACACAACATATAAGACAACATGTAATAATTGTCCAGGTGCAGAACAGATAAGTGCTATTAACACAGAAGAAAGGCAAGTAGTTTTTGATTGGAGGATGAAAGATAATATCCTAGACGTATGTCATTCATAAATTCATATGGAACCACAAAGGACCCCAAATAGCCAAAACAGTCTTGAGCAAAAAGAACAAAGTTGGAGGCATCATACTATCTGACTTCAAAATATAATATAAAGCAATTGTAATCAAAACAGCATGGTACTGGCATAAAAACCAATTCATCAACTAATGAAACAGGATAGAAAGCCCAGAAATAAGCCCACGTTTATGGTCAATTGATTTTTGACAAAGATGCCAAGAACACGCAATGGGCAAAGAAGAGTGTATTCAATAAATGATGCTGGGAAAACTGGTTATCCACATGCAGAAGGATGAAATTAGACCCTTATCTTATGACATCAACAAAAATCAACTCAAAATGGATTAAAAACTTAAACATAGGACCTGAAACTGTAAAACTAGTAGGAGAAAACATAGGGAAAAAGCTAAATGACATTGGTCCGTGCAAGAATTTTTTGGATATGACTCCAAAAACAAAAAATAAACAAATGAGATTGCATCAAACTAAAAAACTATACATAGCAAAGGAAACAATCAACAAAAGGAAGAGACAACCTACACAATGGGAAAAAATATTTTCAAACCATACATCTGATAAGGGGTTAATATCCAAAATACATAAGAAACTCAAACAATTCAACAGCAAGAAAACAAATAAACTGATTAAAAAATGGACAAAAAACCTGAACAGACACTTCTCAGAAGAAGACATACAAATGGCTAATAGGTTCATGAAAATATGCTCAGCATGACTAGTCATTAGAGAAATGCAAATTAAAATCACAATAAGATATCACTTCACACCTGTTAGAATGGCATTTATCAAAAAGATGAGAGATAGGTATTGGCGAAGATGTGGAGAAAAAGGAACCCTTGGATACTGTTGCTGGGAATGTAAATTAGCACAGCCATTATGGAAAAGGTATGGAGGTTCTTCCAAAAACTAGAAATAGAACTATCATATGATCCAGCAATCTCACTTCTGGGAATACATCTGAAGAAATTGAAGTCAATATGTTGAAGGGACATCTGCACTCCCATGTTCATTGCAGCATTACTCACAACAGCCAAGATATGGAATCAACCTAAGTGCCCATCAACAGATGAATGCATTAAGAAAAATATGGTATGTATACACAATGGAATACCATTTAGCCTTAAAAAAGCACAAAACTGTCAATTGGGACAATATGGATGAATCTAGAACTAGAACTTACTTTCTCAGTTATTTTGAAATGTATCACCACAAAAAAATGTCAAGTAAGTGAGGTGATGGATATGTTAATCAGTTTGATTTAATCACTCCACACTGTACACATACATCAAAACATCACATTGCACCCCATAAATGTAATACAACTATGATTTGTCGATTAAAAGTAAAATAAATTAAAAATGTAATAAATGAATAAATGAGGCAATGACTCAAAGAAAAATAATTTAGCTTGTGTAGTAAGAATTACTGTGTTGGTGTTAGAAGCCTCAAAGTTAGGGGTGGAAAGTACAAAGAATTGTGATATTTTTCTTCCTGCTTCACACACGCACGCACACACCCCTGCCCATTTCTCTCCTCCCCAATCCTAACTCCATGATGCCAAATATCATGAAGTGAGAAGACAAAAAGAGACAGAAGAAAAGAGTTGAAAGGGCGGCAGACTGAGGGAGAGGATGTGAAGAATGTTTCAGAGTAATTTGCACCCTCTCAGAGTCAAATAAAATTAAAGACTTTCAGTTTTAAAAAAATAAAATAAAAAACCAAAACTCAGCTTCAGTCCCACTTTTCTCCACTCCATCTTTAATGTCTTACCCTAAGCGTGTAAGTCCTGCCTCCCACGCGGTCCCGGGCTTCCAGAACAACCACATCCAGGCCAGAGTCATGCAGAAGTTTGGCTGCTGCCATACCTGGGAGACAGTACAATACAACATCAGGATGAAATACTCCACAGGGACTCCAGACAAGCTCTTCACACTAACAGCCAATGACAAAAGCCTGTGTTGGTTCCCGTGCAGCCCCTAGTGTTATATTCAACTTACATGTGGGTAGGTGGACTTACAGAGTACAAGCCTGGGAAACCAAGTGATATTTCCAGAAAGAACAAAAAGGATTTCATTTTTGGTAAATGTCTCAAATCTTAAAAACATCCTCAGTCACTCTATCAAAATGTCTATCTTAAGGACTAAACTGCACACCTGACAACATAAATGAAAACAAAGCCACAATCGAGAGAAATGTACAAGCTGCAGTAGACACAGGATCAAGACTAGCCACTGACTTCATTCTCAGGGTGACTATGGAAAATCGGTAAACTGGGGGGCAGGGGGCCCTCAAAGCAGGTGCGAAGACCTGGGATTTACTGTTAAAATTGGACTTTTGGAAGTTGACATAAAGTTTCAAAACCAAGGACATAGAAGTTGACCTCAATCATATTAAATCCCTGCCGTGATCCATCACTGAAGAATGAAATGACTCCATGTATGCACCCATTTAATTATTAATTTAATCGAAAATACTTATTAAATGCCTGTCACATTTTCACCACCATGAATTTAGCTTTAAAAAAAAACCCACAGTTTTAATGAGGAAAATTTACATACAACAAAATTTACCCATTTTAGTGAAGAGTTGCTATACTCGCATGTAGTTTTGGTGCTAATACATCCTGGATGTAGTTTTTGGCCTCAGAGCTCTTAAAATCCTGCATCTTTTAAAACCACTCTTACAGAATTTAGCAGGTTTTCTCAGAGAACAGAGTTCTGCTGCTCTTCCTCTGATGGACTGAATTCACTCAGTCCCCATTACCTTACTCATTTGATTTATTTGACCAAAAAAAATCAAGCAAACACCTAGACGCTGTTGTGTCTTACAGATAAATAAAAGTTTCTAGCTTGTCTTTCAAAATTAATGGTTCTGTGAACTTTAAACTCCATTAGTGCAAAATAAAAAGATTCCTATAGAAATAGCTAATACTCATATAATGCTCACTACATTTGAGCTACTGTTTCTAAGTGTTTTAATATATTAATTCAATGATTTTTTACAACCCAATGAGATAAGGTACTATCGATAGTCCCATTTTATGGCTGAAAAATCCAAAGCACAAAGAGGTGTCCAAGGTCCCCTAAGGAGTAGGTGGCAAAGCCAGTTTCACTTCAGTGTCTGTATTCCCAACCACCACATGACACTACCTTTTGCTACAGGGAGAAATTACATTTCAAAACATATTTTTCACTTTATTTGGATCAATGTGTTTTGAAGACCCACTTGCATCTTGTGGTTTGGTAAGAATCCGTAAAAGATAAAATATGAGCCCATATTAAGAACCATAATGAAAAGCCAACAATCAGCCATCTTAAAGGCTGAAACCCATTTTTCAGAAAGGCTGATTTGACATTTTATTATTTGAGTTAATCCATCCTCCCATCCCTGACCCGAGGGGACAGGGCCAAGGCTTCCAGGCGGCAGTGGAGTAACAGTCCCAAAGTCCACAGCCCCACACAGTGCGCACAAGCATTGCACAAACATGATTCAGAAATACAGAGCTTGGAGGATTTTCAACTCCAGTTTCTTCATTTTACCTCCATAAGAAACAAAACAAAACAAAAAACACTTCTATTTAAATTCAAAATTGCAAACAATTCAATGACATTTGTCTTATCAAGCATCAGTTCAACAAATGAAATAACGTACAGCCTTAGTAACAGCTGTTATCAGTTCAGATAAACCGCCCAAGCATGCTGATTCAGAGGAAATACATCACTCCTTTACCCTAGCATTTTATATTCCACAAAAAGTACTGTCTTTTAGTAAGTGCAGTTATCCAATAATATCTGCTGCTAAACATAAACAGTTATTAAAACAAACCAGGGGCTTATCAAACCATTGAGTAGGGTTCTCTACGCTCATGTGCCTTAAAAAATTATAAACAGAAAATTACAAAAATATCTTTCAACAGAGCAACATGAAAGTATGTTGTTGGAAATACCTCACAATTTACCTCACTAATGTTCATGGAGGTGGGGGGAGATAGCCAAAATGCTTGTTGGGCATTAACTAACAAAAATTGATTAGAAAAATAATTTGCCCAAATATTGGAAGTCACTGCAATTTAGGAGGAGGGAATTTTAGGGTAGCTGAGAAACTGAAAAGTTGGAGTCTGGTCAGGAGGGGATTAAGACTGTCAAGAAGAGATATCTCTCAAGGGATCCCTCAGTGATGACTGATATAAGAACTCATGATTTGACTGCTCAAAGACTAAGCAAATGATTAACTCTACCCAGCTCACGAGAGGGCAGTTTCTCAAGAGTTCCTTTCCATATTGGTTGTTTGGAACTTTTAACACATTTTGCCCTAAGAAAAAACATATGAGAGATGGTACATTCTCTGGGAAGTCTAGGAATTTTCAAGTGTAATACTACTACAAAAAGAAAAATCATAAAGTTGCAGAAATACATTTGCCCTAAAAACACTAAACAACGTAATTTGCACTGTTTAAACACTTGCGCAGTAGTCTCCTGACATAATGCAGTAATAGTTTTTTAAAAATAGAAATACCCACAATAATAACAGCCACCATCATAAAGCACGGAGCATTTACTTTGGTCTCGGTGAAGGGCTTTACACACAAAGCTCAGCTGATCGTCGCCACAATGCTAAGAGGTATTATCCTCATTTTAAATTAAAAATAGCAGCTTGGAGATGTTCAGTGATCTGCTGTAGGTTACACAATTAGTAAGTGGCAGGGTCAGAGTTCAACCCAAAACCTGAATTCTTAGCCACCCCCCTGGGACCAACAAGGAAAAATGAAAAGAACAATAACTCTACATGTACACAGATTGATGTAGTGTCTTAAGACATTCTGCTCTGTGTCTAGCTACAAGAATCTTAAAATATCAGTTTTTCTCTTAAATAGATACTTCATTTTGCAAACAATTTAGGAGCAAGCTTATAGTCACTTTGTACTTTTAAAAAGCTAACGAAATTTGAATTTAACATACAGTATCAATTAATATTTCACAAACAAATGATCATTTGGCATTTTCAGAAGCAGCCCCTATGTGCCCCTGACAGGCCCTTGGAAGAAAAATCACAGCATGGCACACACAAATAATGGTAGAGTGATGCCTAATGCCATGAAATTATCAAAATAATGCATGTCTTACCCTGAGTAGTTTACTTAGAAAAGGTTTCATCAAAGTGATGACTATCTCCATTATGATTACACACCCAAATTATTTTAAAGACCTAGAAATCAGCATTATTAGCATTATATGCTCAGCAGTTTTGTGCCCTGGAAAATGACCAGAGAGTTAGATGCTGTTAAAGACTGAAAATTGCACAGTGAGGTAACACAGAAGGGGCCTCTTCACAGTGTCTAAAGAGCAGCAGAGAAGTTAGGATACGGAGCAAGGATAAGATCAAAATCATCTGCCTCATTCTTTGCTTTGTCAACCTGTTTCATGCCTTTCATATCAACTTTTGATATCTAATGAAGCTTTTTAAACATTTTTAAATGCAAAGTTATTTGTCTTGAAAACATTAGGAAACATCAGTATTTCGATACCACATAAGGACTTTCTCGCAGTTTAAAGTTACCAAAAATAAAAAAGAGAGAGAAAATCATGTTAAGCAAAATTGACAATGAAATTCACTGTATCTCAAAGCATCTCTAACCTTGTAACCGTGGTAAACAATACAGAGATTCCCTCAGGACAAATAAAAGCCAAGAATATGCAAGCAGCCCTCATCACCTCTGTCACTTCTGACAAAGCAATGGTTTTATGAGGAAATTCTAGAAACAACCTAGTGACCTTCTGATCAAAGAACTGGAATTCTTTGACATCTCTAAAGAGAATGCTTGTTAGCTATTTAACACAAATACACACAAAAAAGGTCTGGGATAAGAAGAAAAATAACCCTAATTTGAAATAAAGTTCATTAAAGGAAAGTGGTATCTGTAGATAGAATTCAGATGTTAATTGTTGAACTTTTCAACAGAGTCAGGAGCAGACCGAGCAGGTAAAGCCATCACTGAAAACAGCTAACATTTTGAGCACCAACTCTGTGCCGGCTTCTATTCTAAGTGCTTTACAAATAAGAACTTATCCTCCCAACAGCTCTATGAGGTAGGCAGATGTAGAAAGCAAAGCACAGAGAGGCCAAATAATGTGCCCAAGGTCACACAGCCAGCAAGTGGCAGAGCCAGTATTCACAGTCCAGGCAATCTGACTCCAGATAACAATCATGTCAGCAGCCTTCGTTTTACTTAACAGGGAAACACTGAAAACCTTGCCTTTAACATCATGGACCATACAAACATCAGGCCACTTTCTATCACATTTATGCTTTTGTGTAAATTACACGAAGGTGCACATTCCGGGCAAGTAAATTTCCCAAAGGCATCCTGCCTTCAGGACACTGCAGCCCACAGATACAAATGGCTTGGCTGGCAGCATGGGGCTGGACTGCATGTCTCTTTCACTGCATCAGCCAGGCACCCTTGTCAACAGGGCACTGTCTGAACAGCTTATGCTGTGGCCTTGAAGCTCAGAAAACTTATTTCCTGAATGATAAGAATTTAATTATCTATTCTTTCTCTTCTCAGTGCTAGGACACAGCTGGCACTGCAATGTTTGTTCAATGGATTTATTTAATACCTTTCAACAGAGATGACATTTAATTACTTAATAAATAAATGGTTGCAGTGGTGTCTATACAAGCATAGTATTTTTAATAGAGTATAAGATATTAAAACATTTAGACGCACTGAAACTGATTTCCTCTGGTAATACCAGAAATGGTAACATATACCTTTGACTTATTCAAAGGGAAAGGCAGCCAACCAATAATAATAACAACCTCACCTTTGTACAGCATTGCAAAGTTCCCAAAACTCACATTCAAT